AAATGATGTCCAACACGTGGAACCGAGTAAAGGACTTCATGGAACTGAGTGAAGGACATCTCTACGCTCTCTTTCAACATTTCAATTTTTTGTGGAAAGTAGTACTGTAACCTAATAATTAAACGTTTTCCAGCGAATCATTTTATGATTTACACAAAAGTTATGGTTGACCTGTTAAACGCTGGACATAATTCCAACTGGCATTTCACTTTACAGTGCGTCTGACTTGATTGCTGAATGGAAAGTTACTTCAAGAGCAACACTCAAACCATGTCGAATGTGATTAAATCGTCATATACGAACGAATTCCACCTCACAGTTGCATCCCAGATATAATTCTGGATGGCATCAGGAAATAAATCGTTGTTAGCTGAGTAAGGATGTACCTTTTGGACCTTCGTTATCTTCTTCGCAAGCAATAATATTCCTTGGACAACATGCTACCCGGAAGCGCATCTTGGAAGTTTCAGCAAAACAATCTTGACGTTCAATCTCAATACTCAGAGTCAGCCGATGACGACTTCGCACTCTTAAGTCCCAAATCCCTGATGCTAATCCCCGGCGCAATCTTGACGTCTGCAGACCAAGAGGATTAGAGAACCGCCTACTGACTCAGCCTAATGCACGAACAACTGCCAAAGTCTTCCGAACAGCCGCACTCCATCACCAATGACAATTTATGACTTAGGCGTTAGAGTGCATTCAATGCATTTCATATAATTGGAACTAGCTGTATCCGCAACTTCGTTTGCATGGGGCCTTGAAGCAATTTGTCTTACTGGCATAATATAGATTCTTAAAAAATATGTGGCAATTTTTATAAAATAAGGAGTGTTATATCAATTTGGAAATTATAAATTGTAATAGTATATCTTAATCACTTTGCAGATCACTTAATAAAGAAAGAAAAAGAGCTTTCGACAATCGTGCTGATAATTTAAATTTAAATAATGGAATAAACAACATTAAAATACGAATTCTCATTGTCCTTGATTTTAGCAAGGATTATTTATTCATTTGCAACACAACAGACAATTATACGATAATTAAAACGTACAATTATTTAAAACAACACATTTTATGTACTTTGTTATTTAATTACCATGATTCACATCTTCAAAGAATGTGTACATAAATCGCTGTAAGTTTCCCAATGTTTCATAAAAAAGACTTATTACAAAATACCATCAAAAAGTATGACAGATGTATCTACATTGTATAATGTCAAGAAGAGAACAATGTAGTATTCAGGCATTCTTTATCTCTTCAGATGTTAGTTTTATACCAATTCCAAGATTTATTTAAAAAAGCAAAATAACCTAATATTTTACAGCTTAGATTTACATTTATGGACAACAAGAACACTGGAACAGGTTCTTGGAACACAGGTTCCCTGAAAATAACTCGCCTGCGAACGAATCACACGCTAAACGTGCCAACAAGAGGAAAACTCTTGGCGAAGTTCCCTCAAGCATGTTTTTCTTGCAAAGTTCCCTCCCCTAGAGGATCTCAGCTTGTGCGTTGACTGAAACGTCAGGAGTGTGGTTCCCCCTCCCCTTCCCCCTACACACACACAAAATACAAAGAAACAATCTTATAATGCTCCGTCAATGTTAAGTAATCGTTCCCTCCCCATTCACGTTTACGTTATCTAGAGTTCCTTCTTAGGAAAGGCATGAAGAGTCTTTCTTCATTTCCGGGCCAACAATCTCTAAATTCTATTCATCGGTTCTGACTGGCAGCCTCTCATGAATATTCCCGGTAGAGAGATCGGGAAATCCCTCAGAAGGAATTACAGATCCACAGTGTTGTGCCCAACGGACGGGGAGGGGGGGCGAACCAGTTCCCCCACGAAGATAATGATGCACATTAAAAATATTGCGTATACCAATTGTCTGTACTAACCCAAATGATTCAATGTATTTCAACTCTTTACATTATAAATATTAACTATAAGTCAACCAATAAAAAATGTATTTCATATTCAGCGAAAGTGACAAAATTCTTTATAAGAAAAATCAAATCGCCTAGACACTATATCAGATCCCCCCCCGCCGCGAGAAAAATCCACGGCGCGCTTCTGCAGATCTATATTAAGCTAACACTTTAAAACCAGTAAATTGTTGAACGAATTATTCGAGATGTTAAGGATTCGTTAAGTGCAAAGTCGTGAGAACATACTGGAATTTGAAGTTAAGATAGTTTGGCCAAAATGAACTTTCAGGTAGTTGTAGGTAGTTCCTAGCAGAAATTGTTTTCAGATTGCAGATGCAGATTGAATTTATGTTCAGCAATGTCCAAAAAGTATGCTCCTATATTTCTCAGAACTATACACTTCTGAAAAAAGGTTTCTTTTCTGACATTTTTAATGTTTTACTCATCAAACCAAAAATCTGGGAATTTTTTTTCCTGATGGAGGAGGAGGAGAGGCAGAACATCAATCAAGATGTTGACTGTTCGAACGACCCAAGTTCTGTTTACTCCTCATGACTACAGCCGCGAGGCGCCTGGTCGGCCATCTGGTTTTCCTTGCCGTTACTTTCCGGAGTCCGGCGGCGGCACGCAGGTCGATTTCCTCAGGCGGCGCGGGGGTGCGCGCCGCCTGCAGGCGTCTGGGGCACAATGGCCGCAAGGACATCGGTTGCCCGCCCCGCGCCCGCGGCGCGTGCGCGCTTGGCCGCAAGCGCCGCAGGCCGCCACGACAAACCGGCGGGGCTGCTGCTGGCCGCGCTTCAGCGCCAGCCACGCAGCTGGCCGACGAGCCTGTCCCTGGCGCAAATCTCGACATCGGGGCTCGAACGGACGTCCACGCCGGGGGATCGATGCCCAACTTTAACCGTGAATTGTATATCTAGGCAACATGTCCGACTATTTTAAATCACATCTTTCAATTGAATTTGAACTAATTTTAATATTTGTTAACGGAGGTCCTTAGTTCGTGTCCGGACGGTGCAGCATTTTCGACGATTTTCCGTGGTTTCTCCAATCAATACCAGGCAAAAGCTAGAGCAATATCCTAAAAAACGGGCCATTGACTGCGCGTGATCTTTCCTTCCTCTTCCTTGTTCTTTCTTCACCCCTAACTCGCACACACTTACACTCACGTGAACTACACTACCACACTCGGCGAGAGACCAGTTCGAAGGTAGAACGTGTCCCGGCTGGGGTGCTGCAACGCTTGAGATACCTGTGTGGAAAATCCCCGCAAACCGAGGTAACTCGGTGCCAGATCTCGTCAGCCAGCGGGGGAACATCATCGCCAGCTCCCGCGATAAAAAATGCACTATATTTGCGGGACTAATGACCTTAGTACTTGACGCTCCCGGAATCACTAATCAATCAATTAATATTTATTTATTGAACCTACATCACCTCTTCCAAGAAAGTGAAGGACATTGAAACATGGAGAAAACTCGTGTGATAAAAATGTTAATTCGAGAGACATGACCATTTAGAAACGTAATATACGGGTATTTACATGGCTGTCCGGGTGGCGCCGCGTCCATGGCGAAGGTGCAGACGTTTCGGTCGTCATTCTGCGATCTTCCTCAGGGCGTAATGCAAGTTTTCGACACATAAAATGGCGATAAAAATTGTGAAAGTACCAAACGATTTGGAATGAAAATACTATATTGTTACGCGAATTCGATACAGTAAATTTTTATACTAATTTTGCGGTTTTATCTGACTGTCATCGTATAATTTACACAATTATTACTTTCAGAAAATAGGTCCTAGGGCCATTTACTTGTTATTGGCCGTTCTGTGACTGGATTTCGATTTCATCTCCTGTTTATTGCTCGCCGCTGCCGGATGCCACGATTTTTATAAGCTAATTTCGCCAGCATTAAATTCCTTCCAATAGGTATCCAATCGTCTACTTCAGTAGATCCTTTACAATTGTGTTACATTTAGTAAATGTAAATCGCTTTTAGGAGAATTGAATGTAAATTTCAAGTTAATCCGAAAGATTATTTGTTTGTTTTTTCTGACTTTGGGTGCAATTGCAACCTTTTTACTTTGCTTAAATACGTTTACAATTCTTTCAATTTGTGGGTAATATATGTAGCCCCCCAATGCGAAAATTACTCAAAAAGAGATAAAAATGTCAATTTATTTCAACAGAAATCCATTATCTAAATCAACAACCATTGTATGCTCTCATACCAACAGAATTTAATAATGAACCAAAAACATCAACTGTTACGTTCGTTTGTGCTTTAGAAACGCCACATAATGTGCCGGTTTAAGGACTACTAAATCCGAAGAAAAAAATAATTCAGAAAACATGTTGCCTCTCGATGTTCATTTGATCCTCGATTTTATGTTCGGCTTTCCCAAGCAGAATTACGGCCGGTATTCAGGACAAAATTGTTATCAGTCCTTTTTTAAAAAAATTCGAATTTAAGTAAAATAAAAGTATATTAAAATGCTTTAAATTTGACTTGAAACTCATATTTAAATTTCAAAACTGAAGCAATATTTTAATTCAATACATTGTTATTTAAATAATCTTTATTTATACAGTACACCACAGCTTTATAACTATTACATCGTAGACACCCAAATACTTCATTATACTTAAAATCACAAAATACATTCACCCCAAATTACTGGAAAACTAATTCGAATGTCGACATTTAGTAATTTGAAGATACAAAAATTACAACACACCCAAAATAAATAACCAATTTTAACTGATATCGGAAAAGGAACATCAATATGTATATATTGATCAATACAAAATAAGTTACCAACAAAGTTAGATTTGTTGGAATTTGTTGAAAAAGTCAATTTCATTATGAAATGATTTCATTATGAAACTTCATTACAACTACGTAGCGAAAAGTCATTTCATATCTACAATCACTCCCCGCTGAAAACAGCTGAGAGGGACCTGCCTCGAAGTCGGGCCCTTCGAAGGTTCCTGAAGTGCGCAGCTCTAACGCACAGAGGGCGACGCGTGCACGCACCGACCGCTACAACGCACCTGCGCCCACCCCTCCCCCTCCCGTCGTGCTTCACTCGCCTGCGCTGCGCCCCGGCGAACAGGCGAAGGGTCGTTGGCGCAGCAGCGAAACCTGATCCACGGGAATACGACGACCAGTGGCGTAGCCAGGGAGGTGGGGTGGGGTGGGCGAGGTTGCAACCCCCTACAATTCAAATTAAAATAAAGATAGATTCAGCCAGAAACTGGTTATAATCAATAGAATTTTTTCGTCTTGATCCGCGACAACCAACCGACAGCCTGCAATGTGTATTTATGCAATCTATAAAATCCGATGAATTTCAATCACAAAATCTAATTAGTAAAACCATGATAATACATAGAAAAAATACGTTTATGAGTACATACGCTTACGTATATGATTTCATAACTATAAATATTTTATGTTTAATTATTTTCAGTATAACGGACAATTTGTCCAAGTGCGAACATAAAGAACTCGTAACTCAAATTACATCTCAATCACATGTCACAATTATTCAAAGTACATTTAAGTTTTTATCAAGTACAGTTCATATTATTAGGAAATCGTTCTTCTTTAGGAGAACCCCTTTACATGGGGCGTCTTTGGTATTTAACGGTATAAGTCTACGGGCATCGGCTTATCCCACGAAGGCCCTAGTCAGCTTTGAACCCTATAATAGAAATAATGATACCTGAAAAATCAACCTTAAAACTGATCCAAACAAAGGCTCTATTATGGTATGAGCATTTAAGACGGTTGGACAGTGAGCGACTGCCAAAGGTGTGAGAATACCATCCTGAAGAAAGAAGATATAGAGGAAGGCCAATAAGGAAGTGGGAGGAGGACGTACGATCAATGATGACAGTGAGAGATTCAGAAGATGATGCCTGGGAAGTTCAAAAGGAACTGAGACTAGGTAGCGAGAAAGGGCGACAGCTGTAGAATACTCGCTTGACTCCGACTATATTGACCATTTTCCAATTCCCTTTGAATTACTATACAAATCCTCTAAGAAATAAATTTCTCATATCAGGATGGCACCTCCCCGGCAAATAAAATTACTTTTCCAATGATATGATAGGGAAAATAATGTAATAGAAAAATTAAACTCTAATATTTTATGTTCGGAAATATGAAAGAACAAATAAATTTTATATTTTACTGGAATGATGGCATATTTACGAACGCTTTATCAACAATTCCAAATACATTTAAGTACCTTTTAATATGTCATAATTGTAAACCACTTCATTCTCTTTCACCTACAATCTCCGATGGAATGCTTGCGATGCTATCGCGCGCACTATAAACACTATTATTATAATCACCGTCAACCCAAGATGCTCTGATGATTCCAAGCTTCTCTTCCGCAGAGTAATATCAGTTTTATGGCTCTGAAATCGCATTCCGGAAAAAGCCTCGAGGGTAACGACCCTCGTGTTGTCTAAAATGATAGGGTTTGTGGCATCGTAAAAGGGAGACGCAGAGCTGTTGGTTGTCTGCTCCAGGCCAATGGCCCTCGGCCCTTCGCACACATGGCAAGGAGTAGTGAATATACACACCGACTGAATATGAGATTGACAGCTGAACCAAACAACAAAGACAGTGAACATTTTGCACAATTGGGCATTTTTTGGTGATCACATATGAATAAGTCGTTTTGCAAAATAACTAAAACGCACAACATGTAAACACAGAATAATTCAACAGATCTACTTAGCGTCAATTTTCTCCAGAGAATTATTTTTTTATGTTCATGGAGGTTTCAGATATGTTGCCTTTGCTTCAATCACAAATAGCTGAACGGCTAATTGAACTTTTCACAGCCAAGCTTTGAAGACAGTGGCCCTTCACCTGATTACCCGAAAAATTAAACAACAAAATTTGGCAAAACAATTCATACTTCAATACCCTTTACCGAATTTCAAATTAAACATTTACCACATTTTAAGCTGTTGTCTCCGAATTACCTTTGATTTGACATTTACGTCATCCACCAAATAAAAAAGCAAAAGAGCATGTGTGATCACCTGAACTTTGGAACTAAAATCCAATATTTCAATCCTGCTCAACACGCATCTCTCGCGACGTTGGGTCATCAAGGGCGGGACCGTGCGGCCGCGAGCTCCGCCGTCTTCCCCGCGAACTGTTCCATCTTCGCAATGCCCTGCCTCCCCCGCCAGCGCTACATAGCGGCGCCGTTGACACTTCACCCAAGAGCCTTCATTCGGTGGAAAAGGACAGCCCGCGGGGGCGCTTTCCGGCTTTTACACGATCGTGAGCAACGCCCTGCCGCCACTTCAACACCCCTTTATTAAATAGTTGCTCAACCAAACATATATTTGAGCAGCTGTAGCCGTTTCTGTGTATGGGTCGTAACACCTCACGCAGTTGGAACAAGCGCTCTCGGTTCACTCATATCGAATCTTTCTTCCTCTGTGTGGTCCTTCGGGAACTGGTTCGGAAACAATCCCTGCAGCTACGGGGCAAACAATCAAGGCATTATTCTGCGTGACAATGATTTGCGCGGGCATTTCTTGCATTACGTCATGATTAGCACGCGTCTCACCTACCAATCACGAATGTTTATTTTGCTTCCCGCCGCGATTCCGGGAACGCGATTGGCTCACATGTTAAAGGAGTTTCTGTATGGGCTAGATGATTTACTATCATTTTCATACGCTGCTCGAAAACTGAACAGATTCATTTAGCTACCAACCCGCTTTCGTCATTAAATACACGAATCTTGAATTTTGAGCATGTTTTCTTGAAACTTCGACTCTGCGATAATTAATTACTGAAACTTAGGTGCAAATTAATTACTGCCTCAAAGTAATTACACATCGGGATGGTCAAACAACTATTTTTTTGAGTTTTCTTTGGTAATGAAATGATTTTGCGGCCTGATGAGGATCGAATACATTCAAAATTATGTGTAACGAGCATGATCAGTCACAGGTGCACGAGCTTTGTCACCGGCATTCGCTCTCCACAAGTATTGTCGGAGTAGCTGTTGCGGAATGAAAATTAATGGTTAATCTTTCTCATACATTTCACAATGCGACTAAGATACTGAACTGTGAAAAGGAGATATATTTTTTTTAAAATACTACAACTAAAGACTATAATTTATCAGAAAAATAATATCCATCAAGGTGAACAATTCTAATTTTGTTATACTTCATCACGAAGCAGTGGTGTGATAAATCTCACTTTGAACTTACCCATAAATAAGCCATCCAAACCCCCAATTTTATTAAGGTGCAATACACATACGCCGGGTTTCATCTAGTGGTTTGAAGAGACAACAACTGTCTAAGAAATGCTAATAATACTTACGGACTGTCACTGTCTTGGGGTCATATTCCGAAACTTTTCCTTCCACTGCTTCAATCCGCTTCCGAAGCTTACTGGACCTGTCACGTACATCTTCGAGTTCCTTAGTCAGACTATCGAAAATATCGTTCGCAATTAAAACTAATGATGCAAGTTGTCGTAATGCATTGCTCAGTGTAGTGTTTGCAACTGTTTCCAACTCATAGTCGGTCAATAATTTGTTGTTTTCTTCCTCTTCTGAAGCGGCATTTCGTCGACTCAGAAAGACGGGTTCCACAACACGCTGAACAAATGGCATCGTTGATACTGCGAAAAAACTCGAACCACTCCGCCGTCATTCCCACCACCAATGGCCATTCTCCAACAACCTTAATTTTACATTGTTGCCGCCAAAACACGCCCGATCGAAGTTCCCCACAACACTACTCGCACACGACCCACATCATGCTCTCCGCTCTCCGCGCTTCTATCAACAACTGGTTGTCCCGCCGCGGACGCAGCCTCGTGGACTCCGCATACTCGCTTTTCTCTTGTTCTTCAAGACTGCCAACATTTCAATGATCACGAAAGTTGGTTAGCCTGCCAATGCGCTCGTGTGTTTTCATTTGTATTCTGGATCATCGTGTTTTGATGTTTGTAACGTTAGTGGGAATATTATTTTATACAATCTTTAGTGTTGTAGAAACTGTTTGTTAAGGTGAATCATCTACTTTTATTATCTTTCCCTTGTCTCAGATATTGATGGTGAAATGGTCACACTAGATGAAACTTTTGAGCAGGTATAATCTGAAAATTAATGCCAATTCGAAAGTTTATGTCGGGAAAATGAAGTTATGTTGTAAAAGCTATCAGTCAAAATATTGGTTTGTTTACATTTCAGTTTGAGGAAGAGGAAACAGATGTTCATTTGGGATCCACCCTTTCCGGAAGGAAACGATTATTTTCAAAAGAATTACGGTGTATGATGTATGGTTTCGGCGATGACCAGAATCCCTACACGGAAAGTGTCGATTTACTGGAGGATTTAGTAATAGAATTTATCACAGAAATGGTTAGTATTGTGGTGAATGGTTTAAAAAGAAACATGATAGGCTATTTTAAAAGCATTTTGTGTTGACAGACCCACAAGGCTATGGAAGTTGGACGCACAGGAAGAGTTCAAGTGGAAGACATTGTATTCCTTGTAAGAAAAGATTCAAGGAAATATGCAAGAGTCAAAGACCTATTAACAATGAATGAAGAATTGAAGAAGGCTAGAAAAGCTTTTGATGAAGTTAAATATGCTGGTAATGTATTTCTGACATTTGTTTCTTATGAAAAATATAAAATTATTTTAGTAAAATGTTAAAATCAGAGTAACATGTTTGCATCAATGTAATTAGTGATTGTAATCCGAAAACTAATTAATGTTGGTTTAATTCACTTGAGACTTAGAAATTAAATTGCTTTTCTTTATCTGGTAGCATTCATTATGTATTAGGGTTTCAAGAAAATGTAATGTCATAGCACATGTGAGCTCGACATTCTCATTGCACCTATTTTGGATATCAAGCATAGATATTGGCTTTTGACATGAGAGCTTGAAACACAATCTCTCTAATATGTGGAAAACCTTATATCTTAAAACTGTCTCTGAAACTAAAGTTAAATTTGTAATCAGAACTAGTTAATCAAGAATACTAATTAAGTTCTATTTTGTTTGCAATTAAAACTGGAGCTGTTGCTGGAGATGTTGGTTTAATAATTAATTAAATGTTTTGATTAACAAAACATTTCTTACAATAAGATGCTTTTAAGGAGGGAGGGAGGATATTTGTTGTAACAATATTTACATACGATTTAAAGTGAAGTTGGATTTGTAGACTTTGGAACATTGCACTTTTTTCTTTTTTTCCCTGTACTAGTATTATATTTTGCTTGTGTGTTTTATCTAAACTATCTGTATAATTCTTTAACTGTAACTCCTTTAACTTCTACTTTATTATTGCATGCCTTTGTTCTTCTGCTTCAATACAGAAAGTATAGAAGTACTAGATGTATGTAAATAACAAATACTTTCTTCTTGATGTGTTCTTGTGCATCAGTTCTAAGTACATTACATGCATGTTAAAAAATGCATTTATGCAAATAGTCCTGGAAAATAGCAAATTATTCCAACTAACAAAAATGTAATCTGGAAACAACCTATTTTCTTATATTTAGTAATGAAACCTTGTAATTTTCAGGTGAAACACCTGTTTCGTAATTTTTTTTAAATTTCTTCTTCTTCTTGGAGTTGTGCAAGTAAACTCATCTGGTCATTTTGATGGCAAGGTGAATTCTTCTTTTCATTTCCATGTCTTCCTTCTGATCTTTACTAGCATTACAATTCTCTTTAAATTAGTAAGTTGCTTTTTTTGTTACAAGAAATCCTTTCCATTGCAGATGGCAGCTAGTATGAAGATTGTGAGGAGAATAAACATTACATGTACCCAATGTGTTGATAAAGAATTTTGTCTTGTTTGATTTATTTATCATCCCTATTTCCTTCGACTTTTTGTAATGTAATTTGTTGTAAAAGTATGCTGCAAACTTTTTTTTTTTTTTTTTTTTTTTTTTTTTTTTTTTTTTTTTTTTTTTGGAGAAGTTGGAGAAGTTTTTTTTTGGAGAAGTTGTATTTCTAACGTTAGTTTAGGTTACATAAAGTTGTTTTTTCACCCTAACAATTTGCAAATATTTTCTTTCAATAATACAATTTTAATTTATTAGTTGCAATAAAAGATGTTCTATGAGTAATGGCAAAACTGGCAAGTTGTTTTTAACTTTTAATTTTAAGATTGGATGTCATGTAATAAATTGAATTGTATATAAATATGAAAATTTGGAAATATTACAATACTCAATGAAGTCAGCATGTTTCTTCATTTTTTTTCAAGAATCCTCTCTCTTACAACCTAATTTAAATTCAATTTGAAGCTGGGCCATTTCATGAAATGGAAAAACTACAGCTGGTTTTACACATTAGCAATTTGTGGTAAAAAAATAACAAAAATATTTTCAAGTTAAATATCCATAGCCATAAGAGAAACTGGATGTGGTAATTACCAAGAGTGAATAATAGTTATTTACGAAATACATATTGTAAGATGCAATGATAATATTACACAAGGCTTTATCCACTTCGTAAAAATTACAATATTTGTCTTTTCAATTTGACTTTATCGTGTGAAAGGGGACAGGTTAATGGTAGAGGATATGACTTATGAGGGGCAGTTGTGAACTATTTACATTTCAAATCTGATTTTATTAATAGTGGGTCATGGATTATTAGAACACCATACTAGGAATGCAACATCTGTGGTTTTATCTGTATGTTCAAAATCTCTTTTTTTTAAGCGCATATTTTTAACACTAAACACCAATGATTTGTGCGTTTGATATTTTTCAAATAAAAAAAATCCACAACAAAATTCTATAATACTTTTAGATATCCATAAATTGAATATTCTTCAGATCAAAGTTGCCAGAGGCAAAAAATAAATAAAATTGAGTTTTTGTCAAATTCTATATTATTTTTGATTTGACCTATCAGATAATCCAATTTTTTGGTAATTGTCCTGATTTCTGGACCTTGTTATGCTAGTTAAATCTCCCATGTGAGCACTTCATCAGTTACCAACCCGATTTTTAAAAATATTGATGTTTTGTAATATTGACGGATTTGTGTTGATGTTACATAAGCACCGATGTTGCTGCTGATGCAGTGTCCCTATTTTTATCTGCTCAGTAACATATTTGAATAAAATCACTGCAAGCAATCGATATATAATACATCTGTTATAACTTATTGACAAATGACATTAAGCAATAATGATTGTAACAAAAGTTTAACTGTTAAGTAAAAATGGCAAAACTGTTAATGCTAATGGCTTCATTGTTTTGCTTTTGGTGATAAAGATACACATTTTGTTGAGCTCTCCTTTCGCTGGGTGTGATAGAAAAGTGTGGGCAGGGGTGGATCCAGAAACAAATTTTGAGGGAAAATTGCTTTATTCAAAATGTTGTGGTTGAATGTATCATTACAGATTATGTAGAATGCTACAGGCTAAACTTAGCTCTCACGGCCAGAGTCAGTAGAAGATAAATTTTCAGGTCTGGTAGGCCTTGGTCCAGTTGGTATTGAAGGGGTCCTTAAATGCTAACTGGACCATGGCCTACCAGCCCAGAAAATTTATCTTCTACAATTTTATTCGTTTAAAGTTTATATGAAAATTTTAATTCGAAGTTTCATGACAAGTTAAAAATAATAGTTACTGAGAAATTTTGAGAGGGGAACCTTCCCTCTCTGGGGATCTGCAACTGGCAGGGGGGAGTTGCTCTTCGGCAACAACACTGTAATATCCAATCTGTAGTTTGTTTACTAAAGCACATACATTTTCTATTACTTGGGAGTGAAAATTTTCAATTTTCAAATGTTGCCAACTACATTTTGCTGGCATTTCAATCTGTACTATTTTTTTTAAAATGAAAATTATTGAAATCATTTTGCAATTTTACATTACATACTTTTAAAAACCTTTTCACTTTTTGTCTATCACCTTAATATAAATAAAACATCCTTAACTGTTGTGCAAAGCAATGTTTTGAACTCCTAAAATGCATTTCTGTGAAACAAAAAATTGCAACAGAGAAAGGACTTAATTTCTATACAATAAAAATATTTTATGTGCAACAAAACATAATATTTTATTTGTTGGTAATGAGCTATCACATTTGACTTAAAACATGTTCAATTCTGTAAAATAAATGATTACAATAAAGCTGCCATGCTCTCAAAATTGGATTTATCATATTAACAATAAAAAGAAGTATTGTTTCCTTCAAATTCTAAATTATTCTGGCTACAGAGAGCTCTATTTGACATGTGAAAATTCATATGCTGTTACTGCCGACCAGTGTAGCATGCATTGTTCTTATATGTTGCTTTTACTGAGTTAATGTTCAATAACTGCCCTAATAATGGATTTTTACATGATCAATTACTCATAAATAATGTATTAGCACTAGAATACAGAATAATTCTCATATTTTAACAAAAATATCATTTAAAGCGAAACAATTTACTGTGTTCTAAAGAAGAACAAATATTAAAGTAAATGATCACATGTGCAAAAAATATGAGATTGTGGGATCTGGCACTTATGCACCCTATATATTAGCAAAATAAATGTATAATATTTGACAAAATTGTGGCACTGACTATTAATTAAAAGGAAAATGAAATATTTCACAGTGGGACTAACAAAAATTACATCTCTTTTGTTTACTTGCTTGCCATCAAATCTTCTTATAATTGAAATTGCTTGCAAGATTATCATATCTCTTCCACAAATTCTCATATTAAGTTCTCTATTTTTAAATCAATGAATTTTGTCAACTTTTCACCTATCAGTTTGTTGACTAAGATTTTAAAAAGTTGCAATCAATTCAACACTGATTTCATCCCACAATTCAGGAAAGTATTGATTTTCTTGGTAATATGTTTCATATGCTGGATTGCTATTAGATCTCAGGCTACTACTGGCAGCTTTAACTTTTAACCTGGCTATTAATAAAATCAATATCAATAATGTCAGATATGATATTCACATTTTTTTAAGATATACTATTTACAAGAAATATTTAAAGTATTGCAGTGGTTCTAGCAGAGAAAATATCACTTTTCCAAAATAACCTTTTTTTTTATTATATGGTAGCCCCAAAGTTGATATATGTATTGAAAAGTATCCCAGCAATAAATATATGTGTCCATTATTTATACCATATGATGTACCTTCCCAGACTAGTGAGCATTTTTTAAAACTTGAACAGAACATACCTTGTATTCTGTTTCACTAGCAAAAGAGCTCTTTATCCACAAAAAAATTGTGCAATAATAATTAACATAAGGCAGCTTTTCTAGCAGATAGTATTGCATCATTGACACCAACTCCATCATAGGAAGAACCACACAGTGTTAATGGAAGGTCTCGAGTCTGAATGTAGGAACGTATTCGTTCAATTCTATCATGATGGCCGATCACATACTGAGGAATACATTGCTGGAGAATGGACACATTTTGAGACTCCGGTTTACTAGGAGTTCCTAAGATCGAACTGGCCTGTTTTACTGCAACTTCTAGAAGATCTTCTGATGATGGACTTTTCCCAAAGAACTTCTCAAACCAATGTCCTCCCATCATTACAGTGACAACTGTATCTCCTTGGTCAGGAAAGCAACAACTATCAAACACAATTCCTAATATGGGCAAGTTTTGAGAAGGTGGCACTAAAAACCCAAAAGCTTCTCTGTTCAAAACATTTCCTGGAAACTGTAAATTTACAACACCAACATTAACAAATGGGATTTCACCTAATTCTTTACTTAATTGGGGATGTTGCTCCTTCAATAATGATGCAAGATGATGTGCAGGCAAAGAACTAACAACGTGATCAAATTCATAGTCATTGTCACTAAAAGAAAGAAATACTTTGTTTGAGCGGAATGTAATTTCCTTGCATTTAGCATTGAACTGAATTTCAGTTCCTTGTTTTTTAACTTCCTTTGCTAATGCTAGGGGTAATGTCTCCATACCTCCCTCGAAAGAATAAACGCTCCACTTCTCTTGTTTACATTTCTCAGCAAGAACATTTTTGGATTTCACATCATTGTTTTTTTTCTTTTTCAAACCTTCTTTTAATAAACCCTTGAAAACTGATCCATGTTTTTGTTCAGCTTCAAATAAGTTCTTCATTAGAAATTTTACACTGATCTCTTTTGCATTTCCTGCACATATTCCACAAATTAAAGGGCTAATTGCGAATTCAGCAATTTCTTTTCCAAATCTTCTTTTGGTGAAATCATAAATACTTTCATCTCCAATTTCTTTCCTTGATGCCTTTAAGTCATTAATTAAAGCACTTATAAGGGGTCTACTGAAAGGTGGTTTTGTAATCAACAATGATAATAAATCTGAAGGTAATTTATGTAAAGTATTATTTGCATATATTAATCTATTAAGAGCAGCTGGATGATTTCTTGGAATGAAAATAATTTTATCAGCTATACCAAGTTCATATACCATTTCTATTGTATTTTCACCTGCTTCACCTCTAGGTCGGAGTGTCCTAGGACCATTTTCAAAAATGTGTCCTTTTCCTGAACGAGATGATTTTATCCAGCCACCCACTCTTTGTGAGGCTTCAAACAGTTTGATAGAGGATTGTGAACTTTTCTTCAAATAATATGCAGCTGATAATCCACTTACTCCGCCACCTAAAATTCCCACAGCCTTCATTTTGTAACAACAATTTCATCCAAAAACAAATTTAATAAACTAAAAATTGGTTGGACATAAATCAATTACAATGAATGCGGAGATTTCTGCTGCCACGTTCCTAAACAAGTCACAAAGTTATTGCTAGTCATGAGCACAGTGTCCAATGCAACCACAGGAATTGAGAAGACTAGACAATATATCATGACACCATCGTAAATGAAACATATCAATAAACCTGCAATACTTTGCAATTAGCAATATTTATATGATAACACGAATTGTCTCACGAGGCTCTTTCCCACATCACATATGTCATTGTCCACTTTAACCATATATTCCAAACCCACCCACCAGCACACACCGCCCACATGACGCGGACGCCGCGTTCGAGCATTGCAGTCGAAACTTTCATCGACCTTGTATCTCGATTTGAGCAGGGGACGTCGTCGAGCATTTGTCGAGATGATTAAACATTTCGTCATCGTAATGAGTTGAGAGAAATAATAAATTGGCATTAGTAAAATTTTTATTTCAATTTTATGTAAATTAAATTATTCTATACTTCGCTTCTTTTCCGTAGGGAAGATCTATTAGTTTTTCCAAAGAATACGCTTTACCTTTTGTAAACAAATATTATCATATTTCCAATTATCGCACACGAACTTTGAACGCGAGAATAGTAGACGAGGAGAGATGTTGCGTGATGGACCGGACATGTCGTGAAATGTATTCAGATGCAATAATCTTCATTAAGCAGTTGACCACAATTGGATATGTATTCTCCGCGCGTTTGGCTCGCCGCCCTCCCAGTTCAGTTGCGATTCGAAACTTACCGACATAGGTTCTTCGAACAGGTTCTCGCTTACATCCATGAGTTACAGAGGTATCCGTTCAGATAGGCATGCATAGTCGTCAAGTGGTACGCAAATTATTGCTGTCCCTGAAATGCGAAGCAGTATGTGCTCCAAAAACAAGTTCTCTTCTTCAGCAACGTTACTTAAGTCACGTATCTCTTGACGAAGCATACTTACGGACGAAAGAAAAATGTGAATGTGAGTATTAAATAAGTTGCCAGCCTGGCCTTAGGGCACTCCTCATTCGGCGATGGATCTAAATAGTACTTAACAAAGTCATAACCTCGCATTTTTTCTTGGGCTTTTAGAAATAGCCTAGGATCTTATAGTGCTCCATTTGACATAATTGTAATGTAAAATGAATGAAAGATACATGGCCTCTCTGTGAAATTCACGGTAGTTTAGACTGGGGAATCATTAACATTGCATTTTTTCTGAACATAGTTTGTGCATGTTGAAACCCTTTATCTTCCCAACTTTTTATTTTATTTATAGCAAAGAAGCTCCCACAAGATGTAAATGTAAAAGGAGTTTTTGCTTGCAATGAGTTAGACTTAAAAGAAGTCAAAGTGTATGGTTTTGATTATGATTATACACTTGCATGCTACAAACCATCATTGGATGTCCTATTATACAACTTGGGCAGGGAGACATTAATTAATAAATACAAGGTAATTTTATCATATTGAAATTAAAGAAAATTATAATTATTGACAGTATGCACTTGAAGTACATTGACTGATTATGAAAATGACTTTTTTGTAGTATCCAAAAGGAATTGCCAAAATGGAATACAAACCTGGTTTTGCTGTTCGTGGGTTGCACTATGATATAGAAAAAGGCCTACTTTTGAAAATTGATTCATTTCTTCAGATTCAATTAGGTAGTGTGTATAGAGGTTTGTCTCCTGTTTCGGATGAAGAAGTGCTCCGACTGTATAAAAATCGCATAATTCCCATAGCTTATGTTGAACCACAGACAAAAAATTATCAGGTAAATATGTTTGTGACATATATTTCATATAATGTATTTTATCATGTATATATACTCACAATGCCAGATAGTGATTTAACCATTTGGAACACTTTTAATATGTTAAACCATTCTTGAAAAAATAATTCAATTTCCCAGAAGTGATCGAAAGAAAGAATTGTAAAAGATGTCACAAAAATTAAAAATGGAGATATTGCTCCTTGAGTAACCAGTATTTTGCATAAGGAATTCTAAACAAGAAGTATGGAAAATTTAAAAATCTTCGAAATAATGATATTCAAAGCATGTTTCTCATTATTCTGCGCTCTAATGTATATTTTATTTTTAATTTGACTTTTCATAAATAAAGTGAAAAGTATTTCTACAGTAATTTAAATATTGCTGTAGTAAAAGTAATTTACGTAATTAAGGTTGTCCTGAAGAAATATTCACATGCAGAATGTTTTTTGATTTTTTGAAAAGGTATTATTAATTATTTCTTAAAGTCAAAAGCCAAAAAGCATGAATAAGTATGTGGGTATTTGGAATTTATTAATATTAGGTAAGGCGAAGTAAGAATTATTTTTCTTCTTCCCAGAAAAGGCTTTAAGACTACTTATGGTTCGAGTAAATTGACACGTGCGTTTTGCCAAGAAACTTGACACTACTCAAGGTAATGTTATTCACTTTGTGATGCTCACAATTCCCAATCGAATAAATTCAGACGAAACAATACCTGATAGATCCAGTTATTAAATACTAATTCCAATAGTGCGATTACTGCATTGTATTCTTGCGAGCAAACAAATGAACGAAGCGTCTCGAACTGTGTTGTTGCGTGGAGACAGCGCGTACAATTGAATGGCGTCCTCTGCGGCGCCGGCGATGCCTATTGGCGGCTCCTGAGAGAAATGATAGGATGATGACGCGCCAGCCTTTCTGGTAGCGTGATACGCTGGCCTGAAGGCGAAACTGACAAGGGGCTTGCGCAACAACCTGCTTACAATGCTTCTAAGATGTCATAACCGTCAGGCTGTCCAGATAGTTTCTTCTGTCCAAATAAATGTTAAATGTTTAAAAATGAAAACAAAAAATAAATTCAAAATGAAAAGTTTAAGAGAATTTTTATAGCACTGCAAAGAATAGTATATTTAAGTATCTAAATTTAGACGAAGTCTGGTATTTTAAGTACGTCTTTTAGCGTGAGGAGGCTAAACATAAATTTGACTTGGTCGTATTTGATGAATGTTTGATATTCAAAGACCAGACGTATGCATTACACCATGAAATAAAGTGCCCCTTCCCTACCAAAACAAAAAGAAATTAGTGGAAACGATCAGCGAAGCTATTAATTTAGACATTTTCGCAGTTATTTCCCGGTATGAGAAAGTGGTTCATAAAAAATACGGAAACGAATGTAAAAAACAAACATACATTAAAGGCCTACTCTCGATGTTCAGTCTCAAAATATTATAGATGTCAACATCAAGACACTTTATTTGCTGACTTCATGGAATTGCTTTTTCAAAAAAGTTACTTTGTTTCAATTTTCAATACAAATTCAAAAGACAGCACTTTGCTGATACTGTCCGATTAGAGATTTTTTCGCGTGACAGAACATCTGCAAGGCAATTCTGTATGTTATAAAATAATATTGACTATGTGTGACCAGATGAGAATAAGGGCCGTGACCATATCGAACGGTACAATGATACGGTATAAAAGATATAAGAAAATCATTTATCGTAACAGGTTTTCGAATATAAGAAGATTCCCCCGCATCATTGATACATATATTTATCTTCTCATCGGAGTATCAACTGATGCATTTAAATCAAATTTTTTTCAAGAGGTTTCTGAAGATCACATTATGTAATTCTCACGAAGTGCGTAACTCCAGAACATCATTTCTAACAATTTTGATATTGCTTTGCGCTTCGTTTCTTGACTCAGGGTAGTATTTACCTGTAAGCACAATACTCATTTGCTTAACGACTCCCATCCAACACGCCCCCCGGAAAAAAATTCAAAAATATTCGAAAAAATGTAAAATATGTGTATTGGTAAAATTATTACTAATCAAATATTCTACTACTCTAAAAAGTTATAGTAAATGATTTTTAGTGAATCAGGAGGAGTTTTTCGAGAGGGAGACCTCAACACTATTTTGTTCTGGGGGGGGGGGGGAATGCCCCCTCTCCGGCATTTCTCAACTTCGTCTCTGCTTGACTTTTGGTATTTTTCCGGTTGTCGTGGTAAGAAAGTTCAGGGTGATGTAATCAGATCATAATATTGTTCTTATTTACTTACTATCGTTATTTTAAAAAATTCCACTATTTGGGAAGATCTTCTCTGTGAATAATCAGGCATTCGACATCACCAGAGTAATGTAAAAGGGAGAGGAGTAATAATGACCAATTCTTAAGAAACAGACCTGATCTGTTTTGTGTACAAACATTTTGTAAGAAGATTATTACTATGTAAACTTAATTTTAGCTTCTAATTACGCGAATTAGCGAACTGCGTGAATTACCCCCGTTGAATTAATTTGCATCGTACTTCACGAGCGAGGTGTGGCAAAATTTGTATCTTAATTACGTCCGGCACTTGTCCTTCACCAGCGATGTCAAATAGGCAAGTCTGCTGTAGGCATATGGCCCCGTCATGTAGTTTTTTTCGGCTCACAACGTCTAACAGAAACTGATAAAAATGATTTATCATAATGAAGGTCACATTCCCACAATCATTCCCTGATGTTGAGAAATGAACTGGAGGCAAATAATGAGAAATATTTGGTAAATTTATATAAATAACGTTGAAGAATTCAGTAATGTGCATTAGAATCAATTTTACAATTTCAAGAGTTAATTACACTTGTTATTTGTTAATTTATAAGATTTGTTGAGGAAAAGCCATTTTTAATATCCCACTACTGCTTACGCAATATAGAGAAAGTATTGTAATACTGCTGAGAAAAAAAAATCGACAAAAACTTACAGTGCGGGCGAAAAAATCTTGTTTGCTAGTGGAAAAAACTATTCTATTTTAATTCCATGGTTACTTGGATGAATAAAACATTTAAAACAAGAAGTATTAAAAATCAGAAATAAGAACGGAGTGTATACTCGTTATTCAATCTGAGTGCGTTTTACTAACTAAACATATGAACCTTTCTTGCTACAAGTTTGACTCGCTTGATCTCAATCCTATCACTCTTGACTGGGTTCTATAAGCGTGTTCTTCGGGTTGATATTTACCGCTGTTTTAGTACGTCCTGAAAAATATCAGAAATTAAGTAAACAACTGTGCAACTCTTAGTGCCATCTCCCGCTTAAGCTGCTTCGCGGCATAGCGGAAAGACGTAGTCCGCACGGATGCTGTTTTTTCTATCAGCTGTACTTCTATCTCCCAATCGATCTCGGTTATCGGTGCCCATGCAGCCGAATGGCGTGTTGAAGCATGTGCGTAAACGCGTGCACTGTGTGCATGTCTCGCCTGTGGTCAGGGACGGCTTCCCGCGTGGATCAACTGATCGTTTGCCTTTAGCAACTGTCAGCGTTTTCGGAATGCGGATTTCATAGGGTGGTCGCGCCGCACAAAGCCCCAATTCTTCTTATTTAATGTCAAAAACAGTTAAAATCTATAACGTACTATGGAGATATGTGTATTATATTCATTTTGTATTAAATTCTGGGATCCCTCCCCTCACCCATAAACAAGTTGAACTCTGGAAGCAAATGGAAATAAGCGTTTTTGACAAGAATTGGTAAGAAAATATGCATTCCGTGTAATAAAAACTTCTCAAGGGGGGAGCATGGGGGTCATGTCTCTCCCAAAAGGCCTAGTGTGTTCGTTGGTTACCTTCTTTTATTTGACAAAATTTATTTAAATATTTATGTTAGAATTATATAATTATTTAAACAATATTGTAGAGTATCATATACACCACTAAAATATATAATAAATGTTTATTATTTAACAAAAATCTATGATGGCCCCCTCCAAATAATCGGCTGGATCCGCCCCTATGCCAGCAGTGGCGGCTCGTGCTTGGGTTGCACTGTTGACACAACACTCATACTAGAGAGAAAAAAATGATAAAACGTAAGATATATATATATTCCATTAAATGACATTAAACATTCAAGATATTGCAGCAATATCGATGTATTTGAAGTCAAAGAGCTCCCGAGGAGGCGTCTCGTACTCTCTCAGGCAGTGCACCATTCACGCTCTTAGCTCATTTTCAGCATTTATTCTTTAGCTACGCGTTCCTGTGCTTTAACATAGGGCCCATTATTATATATTCGAGTTCTGAATTTTGGAAATTACATTCCTGTCATTCGATGGAGCCCCCGGCGGTCTCCCAGTTTGTTGGGGTACCAGCCACAACTGGACTCGCTAGAGCTCTGAGCGCCGAGTCCGCCGGCGCCGTCCTGGCACTCAGTGTTAAAGGGGGTCGAGCGCAATGGAGATGGTTGCGGCGGAGATAGATTTACAACCGGTGCGAGCCACGCGTGACTGTGAATTCGCCGCTTAAGGCACTGCTCCGCTCCGATATCTGCCTGGAACTATTCCAAAGAAACTACGGAAAAGAACGTCCAGAGCAGCCAGATACAAGAATTCTCATTCAAGCAGCTCCTCAAGTGACGTCGAAACTCCGGGATCATCGGCGCTCGTCATTCCCAGGACCTCGCGATCTACGAATCTACGGCGCACCCACATTAGCTAGCCCCGCTTCCATGTTTTGTATCCAGTGAATACTTTCGCATACTTTTTACGGTACTAAAGCAAGTTACGAAACGACTCAAAAGCACCCAAAACATCTTTGAAATAAGCTGAATGTTTTTACAACAATCCATGGACTCTAAAAATGAACGCGCCTTGGTAGGAACTGAACCTGCGCTCTGGGCGGTTTAATGGCCAATCGTTCAATCACTTGAGGTGCAGTTGGGAAAACGAAAGTATTCGGAAGTGAATAATTCAGGACATGGGTAACATGGATGAAGATTTATGTGCGT